TCGCCCTGTTTTATGTAAACTAAGAGTCAAACAACGGAAACTGAAGAAACCTAATTCAGCACCCAAATTGCAATACAAGAAACTCATGAGTGACCCGGACCTGAAGGAAAAATATATGGACAGCGGGAAAAGAAAATACGTGGGACATAATAGAAATGGAAACTCGAAATGGGACGAATTAAGAGAAGCTTTAATGATATCAGCAGACGATATCATCCCAAAGGATAATGGGCGAAGAAGAAAAAAACGAATGGATGACTGATGAGATTTTCGGCACGATGCAAAGGAAACAGAAAATTTTGCTAAGATACAGAACGGAATAGAGAAAACTACACAACAAAATAAGGACCAAATGCCGGTAGAATAAAGAAGAGTGGCTAAACAAAAAATGTGCAGAAATAAAGAGGTTGAGTCCCACAGGAGATATGCATAAAAAAATAAAGAAACTAACAGGACAGAAGACATGCTCATCAACAGGCTGTATAAAATCCAAGGATGGAACACTCATCTTAGAGAACAGGTTTTAAATGACTATTGCGTCTAGCAGGAAACAGACTGTCGCCTCTAAGTGTTGACTTCAATGTTCACTTTTATATTTACACACGCTCTATCTCTGATACTGAGCACGTTATCCCATAAATACAGCACACCTTAAGACTATATTTCTTCATATATATATATATATATATATATATATATATATATATATATATATATAACAAATGATACACATTCAAGAACACATACAATTTAAATGCAGCACAATACATGCATTCTTTTGGCACATGCATTTATTAATATACATATGCAGTTATATATAAAATTACAAACACTGAACTTGCATACGAATATATACGTGGGGTTTTCCCAAAGGAATTCTATTGGAGAAACTTTTCACGCATGCGCAAACATTGCTAGTAATGAAAATGTCCGTATATCTCGGCATATATATGCATGTCTATGTGTGTGTGTGTGTGTGTGTGTGTGTGTAAGGACGGAAGCGATGACGTTCATCCTTCTGTTTTCCATATTTACCCTCAGCCAGTATCGAAAATCCTATCAAAGAAGACTAGTCGCAAGGGAAATTTGTCTGGAGACAGGCAGTCGCTGTGCAAGACGTGTCATATGTGTATATGTTGTGCCACGGCCACTGAATCAGACTTAGCTCCTTATTTAGTCATATTGGCAAAACATGGTCTGGTAATCTAGACTTGGGGCACATGTCTCATTCATTATTTATAAGTCTATTCGTCTATATGTAAAACCATCTACAAAAATGGTACAAACTGAGTTTATTTTGCCAAGAATATTCGAGTGCTGAAGTTTGAGCAAGTCGAATAACGTTTTCTAAATGTCTAAGGATATCTAGAACCACTCAAAGTAGAGTTTAATTGAATGTGTCTTTCGTATTGACGTAAGAGGAGAAAGATTATGATTTATTGATTTTTTTTTTACGTCTTATCAACCTTTTGCTGGTTATTTAAAGCCATACAATATTTGTAAAGGGTAGGAATTTTGGATATGATAATGATATTTACTAATACAAGTTCTATTAATTAACTCTCATCGCTTGGAATGGAGAAAAAAATGGATTCATGCATTTCCCAAGGGTATTTGCACGTAAGTTAATTTCACAAACCCGACCAGAATTCGAACTCAAATCTCAGTTTTGCAATTTTGAATCGTTACCTATTATACCACCCATACATCCGTCCTGGGTATGGCGATAATCTACATCCGCGTCCTGGGTAAAACGATAAACTACATTCGACAGCAAGGCCTTTGATCAGGAAGTTTTGAGGAGCATGGAACCACCTCTTAATTGTTGGCGTTCGCAGGTTCACCCATGACCGTAATGGCAGCACCTGTTATGGTCCCAGCTATTGGCAAATAGTTATCACCAAAAACTGGCGTCAAAACACTATGAAAGTATAAAAATAGGTTTTAATACAAGCAATGAATTTTGAAGGTAAAAATTATTACCAGAAATACATTTTGGAAAAAAATATAACCAGCAATACATTTTTGGAAAACAAAAATTACCGGCAAATCTTATCGGCATTAAATAACCTATTAAGGTTGATATACCGTAAAACAAACCAAACCAAACCAAACCACCCATACATTCAAGCTTACAGCACCTGGAATTCCCAAGCGGTCATTCATCTAGGCACTGACCAGGCTCGACGTTGCTTAACTTCAGTGATTGTACAAGATATGGCCGTAAGACTTCAGATCAGGAATCGTAGAGATGAGGAGGTTAAGATTCTAATGATTGAGGAAACATCTTCTTGGGATTTTGTTCTACAATGTTGTCAGGAAGATGATATCCAAGCTGAACTTTGAATGTAAATAAGTTTCGCTTGGATCATCTATCCTCATCTTTGTTGATATTGTCACAACGTTTCGGCCATTGTGTCCTCCGTCCTTCTTCAGTTAACTGTCATCCAGGACAATAAGTGAATTAAAGCCTTGGTTCTTGAATGTGGTAGTAAAGTAGTAAAGAATTATAATCACTGGATACATTGATTGGTTGATTGCTTGATTCGTTTTCTACGGTTTGCCAACCCATTGCAGGTTATTTAAAGCCAGAAAATGTATTTTAGATTGTAAGATTTTTTATAGATAATAAGAGATCTTACTAATTAACCCATAGCTGGGGCAGAAGATATGAATTCATACATTTTCGAGCGTTATTTGCGCGTAAGTGAATATAACGGACCCAACTGGAATTAGAACCCTACTCTCTGATTAACAATTCCGAGCCATTATCAGTTACACCAGACGCACATCCAAGCTTACAGCACCTGATATTCTCAAGCGGGATACCATCTAGGTATTTGCCCAGGTTCGACGTTGCTTAACTTATGTGTTCGTACGAAGTGCATATCATAGTAGGAATGAGAATGATCTTAAAGAAAAAAAAATCATCATCCTCTACGATACACTCCAAGAAATAGACCATAATATAAACCTTTCCAAAACAGAAACTATGATCTAGAATTGAAATAAAGTCAATGATTGAACATTGAATTGAGAAGACAAGAGAAAAGCAATATACTTACCTGGATTGTTGTCAATATTTAACAACCCCTCCATGAGGGATGTATGTGGCCGAGTTTACCGTGGGTTCTCCGAGCGCGTATGCTCGGCCAAAAATATTCCCTTAGAAACCACCTAAACGGGTTCAGGGATTATCTACCTCCCAAGACAAATTTTTGCCTTTCGACTGTTAATATTTAACTGCTCCAACACGAGGAATGTATGTGGCAAAAGGCCGAGTTTACCGTGGGTTCTCCGAACCCGTAGACTCGGCCAAAAATATTCCCTTAGAAGCCGTATGAACGGGTTCAGGAACTGTCTACCTTCCCGGACGAAACTTTGCCCTCCGGCAAAGCCTCGTCCGGTTTCCTCTCTGCCGAGGCAGAGAGTTCGACAGTTACGAACAGTCTGGTCGACTGTTAATATTTAACAGCCCCACCCACGCGGGATGTATGTGGCACAAGGTCGACGTTACCGTGGGTTCTCCGAGCCCGTGGGCCCGTCAAAAATATTCCCTTAGAAACCGCATAAACGGGTTCAGGGTCTGTCTATCTCCCCGGACGAAACTTTGCTCAAGGTAGAGAGTTCGAGAGTTGAACAGGCGAAGGCATTGTTCTTAGCTGGGTTGTTGTTTCTTACTAGCTAAAAGTGGTTACGTTTTTACAAACTATTTATAGTTACAGGGGTCACGTGACTTTATTATCACGTGATCCCTGATGTAGTTATAAGGGAAGTGTTTTTGTTTCCCCTTTTTATTTTAACATTTACTCAATGCAAGTTATTACATAGTCACATTACGTCGCGGAAAAAAAAATCTTATTTCGCAACTTAAGGTAAGTGCTTTTGCTTCTATTCTTCGGCCTGAACCATCTCTAGATTTTGCGGGGTTGGGTTTTCTCGACAGAATCCACCATAAAAATTCAGAATATAAAATTAGTAAATACTAAACCCTTCATATACATCTATGCATGGATAAGATATAAATATTTTTAGTATATGTATAGCTGGCCACTCGCATTCCAGGATACCCGTCTACAAGGACGGCTAGCCAGTCCCTATTGCAGACGCTTGCTCAGGCGTATTTGTGTTTATTCAACACCCACAGAGACCACCTGTGGATTATATTGCAACTATGCTGAGCAGACCTTAGTCACAGTTTCTGGGAATAAGTGTGTTATCTAGCCTGATCAACAATTTGAACAAGGCCAGCACGCTCAAGCCCTCGGCCACGATGACTTGTGACTTCGTGCTAGCACAGCTATCGACAGCCCCCAAGGGTTCCGTCTACCCAATTTCACTCACAAGGCTTGGGTCAACCCGTGGTATGGTTTTCAGGCACTTTCCAATATTAAAAATATTAACATCGTGCCTGTCTAATAGTTTGAAATCATTTTTGATTTGCTTTGTAACGTAGAGGACTTCAAGCTTGTATGAAGATATAAGAACCTATTGATCTCTGCGTATTCCTATATCAACGGAAGGGATTTCTTGAAATGTTTATATAAAATAGTTCAATCGAGCTTTTTAATATTTTAATATTTTGAAATCATCTTCGAATATGTTTTCACAACATCACCCACGTGACGACGACGTGATCATATTTAAACGGAACGCTGATCTTATATAAAAATTTCAGTTATCTGTTTGGATTAGTTGTGCCCTTATGTCCATCGTATTTTCATGCTGAATTTTATATGGTCTAATGTTAATTATGTTTAATGAATATGTCCTGATGATGGTCTAAAATAGACCGAAACGTCCGACGTTGACTTTATATTAACATTAATACAGCATAATTGCTTATTAAGATTTTTGTTTGTTTTTTCTGTATATTTTTCTTCATACATACATATATATATATATATATATACATAATTTTACTCCAACCATGAAATAACACCACTAAGATGCAAGTGGTTACTAAGTGTTAGAGAATATACGAAAAATATTATTGATACCTACATACATCCAATACATAAATGCATAGATATATAGATAATGAACAGACTGAGATAGATAGATAGATAGATAGATAGATAGATAGATAGATAGATAGATAATGTGTTATCTAGCGTGATCAACAAGTTGAACAAGGCCAGAATGCTCAAACCGTCACGTCGACATTTCTACGATGTGACTAGAATGTATTTCCGAAGTGACATACTGAGCATTTTATAAAATTCCTCTCCTATTTTTATGGCTATAGCAAGAAAATATAATAGAATCTAGAAAATGTTACAATCTAAAAATTGTGATGGAATCTTTTCGATATTTACTCATTGCTCGAACCCTTAAGCTGGAAACAGATAGCGGTCGACAAATAGAAAGTACCCTACCAGTTTTAGCATTCCTGCACTGACTTGATCGAGAAGTGACGCCACAAGTCTGTGGTAGGCACCTGAAAATCCCACTCTTTCAAACCCACCCTTCTTACTTGTCATGAATTTTCACGATTCCCCTGTCCCAGCAGCCACAAAATACCAACGGTTGCCAAATTTTCTGAGCCTCTCTGGTGACTTTTCGTCCATTCTCTCGTCAGGGGTGGCATAACTCCAAAAACGATCCGATCACGAAAAACTAACCATACTTTTTCGTGTACAATGAAGTCTCGTGTATAACACGTTCCCCTGTCTTCACATGAAAAGTAAATATATATTATTTGAATGTATAATACGAGGCCTTGCTTTACTATTTCTGGAAGTCGAGAAATGCTTTGTCGTCTGTTTGCAAAACATAGTCTTCACATTACCATTAAAAGCAAATATTTTGGATATCGCTAGCCTTTTAAGAGAGGTGAATATGAAAGCACGGTAGTGTAATGGATAGTGGCTCGGATTGAGGAATCGGAGAGCCGAGTTCGAATTCCAGTCGAATCATTTACATTCACTTGGGAAAGGTTTTCTTCTCCCCCACCCAGCTATTGGTAAATAGCAGGACAGACCGGGTTCTGTAGCGTTGGATGGCAACTGGTCTACGGCATAAAGAAATGGCAACCTACTGCGGTAAAAAATCAGCCTCGTCAGTCATGTATCGAAAGATACATGATCGCCTACTAATGTATCACGCATGGCACATAACTGACTGAAATATGAAGCCTTCTGCTACAAAAAATATCTAATCCTATCTACATCACGTAAAGCATTGATAAGTAGTATATATATATATATATATATATATATATATATATATATATATATGTGTGTGTGTGTGTGTGTGTGTAAAAGTAACGAAAAGTAATCCAAATATCTTTCTTGAGTTCAAGAAAGAAATTCGGATTACTAACACATAAAAAGAGAATGTCTCATATCGAGAATATTTAACATCGAAAAACATAAAGGAGAAAAAAATCATTTTTTTTTAATAATATGTGGAAATCTCCACACTTTACCTGATGACGGTCACGAAACCAGAAACACGTATAGTAAAAATAAAGTATAATGTTTTTTTAATAATTCACTTTACAACCAAAAACGTTTGCGGTATCTCTCTTTTTTTTTATATATATATATATATATATATATATATATATATATATATATATGTGTGTGTGTGTGTGTGTGTGTGTGTGTGTGTGTCTGTGTGTGTGTGTGTGTGTGTGTGTGTGATGGAAAGCGCTCTATATTAGGGATTGAAGTAACATATTCAGTTTTATGAATATGAGTTTGTGACCCTGGGTTTCACACTTTTTCAATCATCAGACAAACTCCTAAGAATCAATAGATCCACTTTTTAAAAAGGTTTTTCTGATGATTGCAAAAGCGTGAAACAAAGGGTCACAAACTCATATCCATACAACTGAATACGTTTGGTCTATCACTGATATTGAGTGCTTTCTACTAAGTACTGCAGATACAAAATTATATATATATATATATATGTGTGTGTGTGTGTGTGTGTGTCTATGTGTGTGTGTGTGTGTGTGTGTGTGAAAATAATAAGGACACTAAAATTCATAATTCGGTGTTATTAGTAATTATTTTTATTTAAAAAACAGTGCTCGATACAAACAATAGAGCATATAATTATTTTCTTTTTTAAAAATATGATTCTATCGCGACAGAGACATTTCTATTTCAAAACTGAAACTAAAATTGTAAATTTAATTATAAAAATTAAACTTAAAATCCAGAGTTTCAATAAAACACTAATAGTAAAATAGAAATTAATAAGAAAACCTTGAGCTTATAGTTCCTTTGCGCATACATGAAAAATTATACATTATTAAGTTTCTGAATAATAATAATTTATTAAATCAAAGAAATGAAATTGCTATTTTTGTAGGCACTGTCAAATATTTTCCTTAAGTAATAATTAAGTTTGGAAAAAAATAAAAAAGGGAGATGAAACATACATATTTTATACTTGATCATTAATTAGCAGTTGATTTCTAATATATTTATTTGTAAAAATACTGTATTGGCTATTAGTTATTAGAAGCACAAATCGTACTTTAAATCTGTATGAATAAAATTTAAATATTAAAAATAAGACTTACTCATATTTAAATAAGCCTTTTATATATGAAAATATGAATTAAGCGGATAAATAAAAATGCCCAAGTTTTTTGTCATTGAAAACCCAGACGGCACACTGAATAATGGATATCTACGTTTGTGATCAGGCACCCACACCTCACTTAAACTTAACCTGACTTTGTAAGTAACATATATTTGATACATAAGTTGTCTAGGGGAATTAAAACCCAACCACCCTAAACAAAATAGATTGAATTTTCCTTAACCTTAACAATTCAAAATATTAAAATTTTCGGTGCTTATAAATTGCGTAAATTTCTTAGAAAGTTATGCCTAACATTGCATGACAATGGAAAGAAATTGGATTTTAAGATTAATTTTTATAATTAAATTTACAACTTTAGTTTCAGTTTGGAAACATAGAAATGTCTGTGTCACGATGGAATCATATTTTTAAAAAGAAAATAATTATAATATATATATATATATGTATGTATGCTTAAAATAGGATATAGACTCCCGAAAAAGTTTTTAAGAAATTTGACAAATGGAAAAGGTTTCATTGAAACTAGATCTGGTTACGAGTTTCATCATTCATGTCTTTATCAAATCCAAAGACGAAAAAGAGAAATCTGTGTATATGTATATGTTTCTATGCTTAAATAATGAATCCGAACTTTTTACGCTAAGCTGGCGTTTCTCGTGATTAAACAAGAAAAATATGAGTGACTTTCAAAAAGCCGTTAATATTTATTCTGTATCATTTCTCTATTTTTATTTCTTAATATATTTTCCCGGCTTTTTTGTATCGAATTAAATGTAAATCCTCATCTCATTTTCAGAATGACTCGAAAGCAAGAAATTCAAATAGACTTTTCTGAAATGAATCTGAGGCAAATCCTCATCCAGTCCTTCAGAATGGGCTAAAAGTAAAAGATTTATATATTTTTAGGTCTGTTCATGTGTTTTCCGCGTCGAATATATATATACATATATATATGCCACATTGACAGAAAACCTACCAGTACAAAAGAATTCTCCTATTACTATATTTGTACAAATCGCACAACCTTAAAATTTAAAATTCAAACTCAGCGTTGCGACCGCACGTTCCAAAACAATAACACATTTCTCATAGCATTTTTTCGGATTACATCTATATTTACGTTGTCCTCTTATTACTGAGAAGTAAAAAACAAGAACAAATCTATTTCCATCCCTGAGGATGTCTGTAGGAACAGACGAAAGCTTGTAAATCTAAAAAGGCCTTATGCAACTGGAATTTATAAACAGGAATCATATCATTCATATACAGGTTCGGGGTTAGTGTACCTTATTGAAATTGTTTGCGAAGACGTATTCTCGCCATTTAAATCATTAACCTCTATATTTGATTTTTATATGAATGAATCATGTAATTATATATATATATATATATATATATATATGTGTGTGTGTGTGTGTGTGTGTGTGTGTGTGTGTGTGTGTGTGTGTGTGTGTGAAAATATATAGAAAAATAAGAAAGAACACGTTAGGCAAATAATCCGAAGTTCTTTAGTATTTTTTATTTTATTAAAAAAAACAGTGCTCAATACAAAAGTAGAGCTTAAATTATAATTATAATTATCTTAAAAATAAATATGATTCCTTCGCTGTTTCAAAAACCAAAACCAAAAGTTCTGTCTGATCCCCAAGCAAAATTTTTTGGAATAACTAATATTGAAGTTTACGCATCTTTATAAGCATATTCATTCGTAAAACTAATTACTATGGAAACGGCTGAAGCAATCATTTCAATTAGGGCGTAAGGGTTAACAATTTGTATCAACATATCAGTCGCCCTCGGAAAGAGGCCAAGCCGAAGCAGGTGTCCATTCCAAAGCGAATGATGACATTCATATTTTGTTTATTGTTTTCATGTTTAAGTATAGTCGTGTTGTCAACAAGGATTTTTCGGAATTGAGTACGCGGGCAGCCATGTTGTTTTAAATGTCTAAAAATGTTAGAGTTTTCATTCAAATGTAGTCAAGCGCCGTGAAAGCGAGTTTGTTGTGCGACCAACATAAATATTATTTAATCCGTTGGAGATACAATCTCCCAAACGGCACTTGAACATCAAAACAATAAACAAAAATTAAAAATTCTTGAAGCTTTATGCATAAAACAGTTGAAACCTAATCTGAACAAAATAAACTATGAAATCTCCACAAATATCCTTAAATGCCTATTATTTATAACAGAAGCGATTGGTTTATACCAACGTCTTCCCAAACTTAATACTTCTCGTTTTTCACTCTCGCGTGGTCATGTGTGACGTCACGAGCTGCGACGCAATTTTCGCTTCCGCGTCTCATATATATGAGTTTGGCGTTACTTGAAATTTTCATGCAGCAAGGGCGGACTATCATTGTTGTTTCGTCCGTGTGTTGTTTGATTTATTGAAATTGTCATCTTTGATAATGGTTTATGTAAGCCGAAAGCTTAGATGGGATTTAAACATGTATCAATATGGTGTTTTCCTTTCGTCTTTCAACGATAATGTGATTAAGCTTATCAGACAATATGAAAGGAACTTACTTAAAATAAATAGACAAATCTTGTCTATATTATTTAATGAAACATGCATTATATATATATATATATATATATATATATATATATATATATATTTCAACTATTTGTTCATGGAGATGGAACATGTATGATGACTGTACGAATATCAAGGAGCCTGTATTAATATAGACATTACTAAAAATAACTATATATTTATGTATATTGGATAATGTGCTAAACATCTATATGTTTCTAAAGTCGATACCTTTTGAAGATATAAATAAACGTTTATTATAATGAACCTGATATATCCCGAACAAAGTTATTATCGACATTTATAATAAAAACGGATATCGAAAGCTGAAACGTGGATAAAATATTCACATACAAATATATTATGAGAATTTTAGAAGCTTAGTTTACTTGATGCAAGTTTTATTGGGAAAATGCTATATAGTAAAATCTAATATTGTGTATGTACACATACGCGAGCGCGCGAACAGACACACAGACATATATAATTTTACCTTGATTGTAGGAGACTTAAATGAATATATATATAGATAATGAACATACTGACATAGACAGAATTACAACAGATAAATAGACAGACAGATAGCTAGATAGAATGACAGGAGATAGATAGATAGATAGATAGATAGATAGATAGATAGATAGATAGATATGAACAGTGAGATAGATAGATAGATAGATAGATAGATAGATAGATAGATATGAACAGTGAGATAGATACATAGATACGAACAGTGAGATAGATAGATATGAACAGTGAGATAGATAGATAGATAGATAGATAGATAGATAGATAGATAGATATGAACAGTGAGATACATAGACAGATAGATAGATAGATAGATAGATAGATAGATAGATATGAACAGTGAGATAGATAGATAGATAGATAGATATGAACAGTGAGATAGATACATAGATACGAACAGTGAGATAGATATGAACAGTGAGATAGATAGATAGATAGATAGATAGATAGATAGATATGAATAGATAGATAGATAGATAGATAGATAGATAGATAGATAGATAGATATGAACAGTGAGATAGATAGATAGATATGAACAGTGAGATAGATACATAGATACGAACAGTGAGATAGATAGATATGAACAGTGAGATAGATAGATAGATATGAACAGTGAGATAGATAGATATGAACAGTGAGATACATAGACAGATAGATAGATAGATAGATATGAACAGTGAGATAGATAGATAGATATGAACAGATAGATAGATACATAGATACGAACAGTGAGATAGATAGATATGAACAGTGAGATAGATAGATAGATAGATAGATAGATAGATATGAACAGTGAGATACATAGACAGAGAGATAGATAGATAGATAGATAGATAGATAGATATGAACAGCGAGATAGATAGATAGATAGATACGTAATGAACAGATTGAGATAGATATAGATACTTGAAAGAGAACAGATATATGTATAGATAAATAGATAGATATAATGAGAACAGATAAACTGAAAATAGATATATAGATGGAAATATAAGAAAGAGATAGAATGAGAAAAGACAGAAATAGAAACAGATAGATAGATAGATAGATAGATAGATAGATATAGAGAATAACAGATAAAACCGACAGAAAACTGATATATATATATATATATATATATATATATATATATATATATATATATATATATATATATAGATAGATAGATAGATACATAGATAGATAGAAATAATAAAAAGACCTGAACAGAAGGAATAAGATTGATTTTTTTCTATTATTTTGATTCCTATAAGTCTGATATCGAACGATACTTTAAAGGCAAACGTATAGTAAGCTATAAATAAAGTCTAAGATAATTCCATATTCAAATGCTAAAGACATTGTGCAGCAGACAGAATAATGTCTGTGCCTGATATTCTTTCGATAGATATAGAGAACAGCGGGTGTTGTCGGCCTTTTTTTTTTCTAAGTCAATCACACTAGTGTCAAAAGTATTATGTCGGCGTAAACAAGTTCTGCGAAGAAAGGTGATAAAAGCCAGGCAAAAAAACTGAAGAAAATGAAGAACAATCTTCTAGAACTATTATCACACCTTTCCGATGTATACAACGATGTTCCTTCAATCGGATGAGGTGGTTACACCTTTAGAATACTTGTCGAGTATATGGCCATAGCATCAAAATGTTGCTGGTCCTACTGCGTGTTTCGTAATAAGTCAATTTTAGATGAGGTGGAGACGCGTGGCAGTCAGGGTAGAGTTCTACGGACGAATGCAGTGAATCCCATGTACGGAACATTAAAGAAGCGGGGTATTTTTAATGAAAATGGAAACTAAACATCACGAAAAAGAATTGAAATTTCTAAGACATATTATGAAGAAGGAAGGCTTCGAGAAATAACGCAGTACATTTTGAAGGCAGAAGAAGCAAAGGGAAACTGTGTAAAATATATGTAATAAGTTTATTTTTATACATATAAAGATGGCAGAACATGGACCGGGAAGGTTAGTAATGTGAAAAACATTGCAAAGATCTACAAAGGAGAGGAAGTTGTGGACTACATTTCCTGAAAGGACAAAACCCATAAAAGAAGAAGAGGCTTTTACGAGCTGAGGTGCTATTTCCACGCTAAACCTTCTTTTGGATTTAGAGTTTTTTCTTCTCCTAACTTGGTTGCTAATTAACATTAGATAACCCAATCCCTTTTATTTAACTCATAGCAAGGGAGGGAAAAGAAGAGAACTAGTCACACCTTTCCCAAGTAGATTTGCGTGAAAATAAAAGCAACGGAATATAAAAAAGTATATAAAATTAAAATTTATGGACAAATTATTATTTACACTATTTGGACTATTGTCCTCATCTTTGTCTTATATATCACAACGTTTCGTTGTACGCTCCCGCCTTCTTCAGGTGGTTGGCATGTCGAACTGAACCCTTTATTTCGCTCACTGGTTCTAGTTCCACGTGCCATGTCTAATGGATGTCAGTTATCTCTTGTTAATCCCCCTCTCCAAGTTCTCCTTAACCAGGTATTGAACTTACACACTTTGGGTCCTGTCACTGGATCTAACCAACGCCTCTGTCCACTGTGCTATGTATCCTTGAGGACATCTGTGTATGAATTTCTGGATATTATAAACCTAATGTCTTCAGCAACTATGTTTTACTCGTGCTCATATTGCAATCTTTGCTGTTATCATTGCACGTTTTATACCAGAGCTGAAATTGCAATTTTTGTTGTTATTATCTCTTTTCTCTGGCACTCCTTATTACTGGTTCCCATATTGTATTCATTTCTATGCTTGGTCGGCCCAGGAGATTTTTGTGGCCAAGCTTATGTGCTGATTCCTTAAGTTTACGAATTTTCCAATGATCTCAATTTGATCCCACAGAGAGCGGTGATCTCCCCTTTCTCTCCATATGTGCTCAGTCACACCTGTTTTTTCCACTTCCCCTAAACGGTCGATTATTTGTGATAAACATGGCCACAAAGATGAGGACAATAGTCCGAATAATGTAGTGTACATAATACCGCATCTCCGAAATATAGACAGGTACTGAAGGACAAACCACGGCCAATTAGTATTATACGACCCCACATGTGACATAACAGCTGAATTCTAAAAGGCCGATGCATGTAAACAAATAGAAAATGTGATTGGTCGCTTAGGAAATTTCTAATCTAAAAGGGAGGTTACTTTAAAATTTAAATTCTTAGAAGGTAAATTAACAACGTACAATTACATAGAATTAATCAGACGTTATTTCAATTCCCTAGACATGTTTTCAAGACTAAAATACATATTTACAACTTTTTTTCTTCTTTTTTTTTTTTATTAATCTACGAATTATAAACGGCTGTGGGTTACCTCGTTTTTACGATTTTCAATTGCCTATACGGCCCGTTTTGCAAATGGACGCTATTAGACAAATTTTCTGCCTTATAATCCATTTCATTTAGATATTAAATCATTAAGTCTGTTGTGATATTTTCTTTTTAAAAAATGTTTAACAAATATGTTGCATTTGGCTGTTCTAGTGGATATGTTACTAACAGTGAAAAAGTATCGACATTTTCTTTACTTCTTAGAAAATCTGACCTCGTAGAAAAATGGAATAAATTCGTTAATCGTACTGATTCGTTTCCTACGAAAAATTCAATTCTCTGTATGGAAGTTTTTGAAGAGAAATTTATTTTGAAAGGAAATGAAACAAACTGAATTGTGATTCACATCCAAAACCTACAATACATTCAGAAAAAAATAAGACAACCTTCTCTTTTTGCCAAATACAGGGAATTCAGTAAGCCTCAAAAAAAAAAAAAAACAAACAAAAGACTGGTCCAAACCGATGAATTACATGATTATATTTCAGCTGATACGATAAAAGATTTTACTCAATTGGAAAAAGCAAATTCAAAACTGTCCTAGCAGTTTTGAATTTATAAAATAGTCTGACATATTTTCCATCTATAAAAGAATGTATTCGTATTGAGTAAAACCGTCACGTTCAGCACCAGTGCAGTGGAACCTCTATAATGCTACCACAGTGGCTTATACATGGACATAATGTTAACCTCACAAGATTTAGCATATTAGACAATTTTCCAAACTATATACAAATATGTGGTATAAGAAACAACAATTCTAAAAGAATTTTTAAAAAAGACATTACAACATTTCCACAGAACTAATACCTTATGTCTTACTACTGAGCTATACATCTCAACAAGACTACAAATTACTTCTAGAGAAATTTCCATTACCATCTTTTTTTATTAGAGAAAATTTAAAAGAAATAAATTAATGTTTTCAATGTGAAATGTCTTCCTTGGTTATGGTAAGCAATGATAGTGATGATGCTATAGAGAAGCAGTACTTTGACTTACTTTCTCGAGATCTTACGATTCCATCTAGCCAAATGGTAAAGTTCGTTTGTGTTTGTTTTGCTATACTTGACTATGCAGATAAATTTATTGTAAAACATAATGAATCAACTACAAGAGAATCTGCTGAAAGAATTTTGGAAACTTATTCTCCAAAATACGTTTTTAATTGTGACCACACTGAAAAAAAAAGAATTCACTTTGCAGCAAAAATGGTTGTGAATATATTTTGCAACAAGAAACATTATCATCAGACGAAGTTCGGAAAAACATTGTAGAATGTTTTAAAAAAAGGCAAAGGTCAAAAGAAAATTGATTTATAGAGAAACTGTTGGTAATTTTTTTTTTTATTTGTATTTTTTTTTGTATTACTGCTTAATTCTTTAATAACTTTTTTTGTTTGTTTACAATCATTTATTAATTTTCTGTTTAAAAGAGAAAAACCCTGTTTGTGTGTTTTTGGACGATTTTAACATGTTTCAGATAAAACGGACATAAATTGACTATAATCCAAATAGGCTTGTTAGAAATTAGCCTGAAATGTGACATATGGGGCCATGTTCATATCTATCCATCTATCTATCTATCTGCATATATAGTGGCTAAATCCAACCAAATAACCTACACATTACACTTAATCAGGTCTTTTAAGCAACTTGATGCTTTCTATGAAACAAAGAAAACTTACTCGCCGCCATCCGCTCAGGCCAGGCTCGTTATCCTCTCTCTCTCTCTCTCTCTCTCTCTCCACTTTCTACTCTGCCTTTGATGGCGGAGATGCCTGTGAAGCAAAAAGAAGTTTTACGAAGACATTCGCGTGAATTAGATTTTGGTGGACAGAGAATCCCATACACTTGCCCAGAAACTCCTCTCTCGTGGTTCAAAAGAGATTAAAACAAACAAAATGTGTCTAACCTGGCTGCATCGGACTGTTACACCAGGCCGATTGGCGCTGATTATTGCCTTTTCAGCCCACCCTCAAAAAGAAAAACAATTCGGTTATTAATAAGAAGAGTTGAAATTAACGGATTCAAGATGCCACAGCTCTAGCATCATTCTTTCACAGTCAGCCTATGATCTTTTCAGCCCATCCACGTTGTAACAGTTTATTTATATTTATCCAGTCAAAATATTTTCAAGAATTGTTTGAATTCGTTCATAACTTTGTTGTAAATCTTTGAATTTACTATTTCTTCGTTTTGTTGTTATTATGAACCAATTAACCTACAATCTCACCAATGTCACTAATGACTCGCGTCGAGTCTTTAAGTTTTGTTCTCATTTGTTATTCTCCTTCCAAGCTTGGAGGCAAATCAGCGACAGTTTTCATTTTCTTCCTAAACCATTCTACGCGGGTTAGAGTGAGATAGATAAAATTTCTTCAAACTCTCTGTCTGGGATAACGATATGTTTTAGAACTTCCTGATAGACAGCCGCAAAAATCGATCATTTCAAGAAACAGATCTTTCTTACAACGGTGACAGACAAACTATCACAAAATGGGAAAGTTTTACATTTTATTTCATTTATTTGACACCATAGCTCTCGTGTGATTTCCTCCATATATTGGGACCACGATCGCCGAAGGAATTGCAGAAATTTGATTCATCACTGAAAATAACCGGGTTTTATTGATCAAAAGACCGACTTTGATGTTCTCCAGATCAGATTGAACACTTTTCTTTCTGCTTAAAAATTATCACTGGCTTCGAAATCGGTATACTTCTCTCGAATTGGGAGTGCATAAGATCGAGAAAGAGCAACGTCAACATCCGTCCAATCTTTGGCAATTTCACAATCGATTTGAGATAAGGATTTTATTCACATGACGTCCATCTTGACCTTTGAACCGCAGTTGGATCGATTTGAACGAGCTGTCTTCTTATTTCCAAGACAGCAGTCTGAGAGTCTCCCACCTTGACAACTGGAGTCATACCAGCTTCCCACAATGCATGAACGACGATATACATCCTTAACTCTTGCCATTTATGAAACTAATCGTCAATAGCGTACCTTACATGTGGCACAAAGCTGAATAAATAGAGCATTCAGGCTCGATCTCATTACTTAGTCGTAATTGATCTAGTGGGAATGTTAACCATTACAACACGTGCCCAAATGGGTGTCAATAACGATTTACTAACCGTAATTTAGATATGGCACAAGGACGTGACTATTGAGCACCCAGTGAGAATTGAACTCACTGTTCAGTTGTAATTGCTTTAGAAAGACATGTTTGTTAACCATTACATCACATCGAAGCACACAACTGGGGGCCGATAACGATTTGCTGAGCATAGCGTAGACGTGGCACATGACCGTGAATATTGAGCACCCAATGAGGATCGAAGTCACTGTTCAGTTGTAATTGCTTTAGAGAGAAATGGTTGCTAACCGTTACACCACGGCGGAGTACTCAACTATGGGTCAATATGCTTAACACATATGATAACAGCAAAAATTGCAATATGAGCACTGGTAAAAAAAAAAAACTAGTTGCTGAAAACAGGTTTATAATACCCAGAAATTTCTCAAGAACACATGGGACAGTGGATAAAGGTGTTAGTTAGATGCAGTGACAGGACCCAAAAAGAGTGAATTCAATACCCGGTTAAGGCAGTGGAGAACTTGGAAATGGGAATTATGCAGAAGATAACTGACATCCATTAAATATGGCACGTGGAACTAGAACAGTCTACCCCAGTGAGCAAAATAAAGGGTTTAGTTCGACATTCCAACCACCTGAGGAAGACCGGAGCGTACAACGGCCAAAACGTTGTAATAAATAGAGCGACAAAGATGAGAACAATAGTCCGAATAATGTAAATAGTGTACATTTATATGTATTAAGGCATTTTTATGTTTATACATTCTTTTTATAGATACAAATATTTAAGTAAATGTTCAGTTTATAATAAACAGTATTAATAACATTTGCCGGCCTGAATGTCCGAGAAATTTTCATTGAAAATATTCGTCCCCCGACAGGAATCGAACCTGTATCCAATACGGAACCGTCATTCAGCCTAATGTACCTAACCGATCGAGCCACGGAGAATCGTTCAATTAGCCAGGTCGACTTTACCGTTTTTAAAATTCAATCTTCCATGAATCTCTCACGCACATTCATATCTGCTCAAAGCGTATCCAAATGTAAACAAATGACGCCACACATTATGAAATGGACAAAATCCGACAATTATTTTAAGACATTTTTGTGTTTAAACATTCTTTTTTTATGTCTTAAAATGTCTTCAAGAGAATATCATTCTTTCATTTATTCAGTTAGGATATTTTTCACTTCTGTGGTCACCATTCTCCTCCATGTCATAATTGGCACTCTTGGTCACATTCAATGCAGTATAGTGCAATGGCTTGCTGGTTCCTTTTGCAATGGAGACGTTGAGGTTAATACATCCCTCTTCTCAGAAGTTAAAGAGGCAAGACCTACAAGGCAACAGGTGCTTTGAATTCAGAGATTTCTTTCTCCTAGACTGCCGATGGTATATGGAAGCCATACGCTAACCAAACAAACAAACCGCCTGACGGCCATACCGACAATATCTAAAGGAATGTAGGTCTTACAGTTGGGGACGGCTTGGCTGCAGGAGTTGCTGGAAATTTGTCAGAGTTGACAGCTAACCGCTTTCGAGGCTCCATTCCGGGGTTTCTGTCTGGATTTACTTCCATAGCATTTTCCTGATATGTTCTCGATATGGTCACAGATCAGTAGAGATTTAAAATCAGGGTTTTCTTTCCTCTTGATGGACTGCCTTGCTGGACGGACGAGCTCCATCTAGCCGAAAAGAAAACAGTGTCAATAAAAACATAATTGAAAATATTAGCCAGATATGTGCAAGAAAAATTAATTTTAAACCTGAAACAAAAATAGATTTGAAAAATAAAGCCTGAGAAATAAGCAAGAAAAGAGAAATTGACTATCACGAAACCATTTAAGAATTATCGCTGGGAATGGAGACAGAATCAATAGGCAGAATATTAAGAAAATTGTCTGGCGGCATAAAAAGAGGCACCTTCCAAGAAAAGGTCACAATGCGAAACAGGTAAGTTAGGCTAAGAAGTACATGAAAATTGATTTCTTGACAAGAATTCACAACTGATGCATCAAAAGTTGCAATCAATTTGGTAGGTAGAGATGAATAGGAAAGGGTCTGTCTTTTTGCTGGATAATAAACGACATCGCATTTACCAAACCATCTTGAGAAAATGATGCAGTTAGACATCGAGACGTTAACCAAATATCTCTATTCCCTGCATTTTCCCGATTATTATTTCTTTTAAGTCCTACATACCTATAAATACCAACAAGTGAAAGTAAGTATCTGTCTATATTTCAGAGATGAGGTATTATGTACACTATTTACATTATTACAAATCACCTTTGTTGTCATATTTATTACAACGTTTCGGCCTTTCAGTATCTGTCTATATTTCTGAGATATGAAACCTTTATTTCGCTCACTGGGGCAGGCTGTTCTAGTTCCAAGTGCCATGTTTAATGGATATCAGTTATCAGTTACCTCCTGTTAATTCTCTTCTCCAAGTTCTCCACTGCCTTAACCGGGTATTGAACTCACACTGTTTGGGTCCTGACACAGTGGATAAAGGCGTTAGTTAGTTCCAGTGACAGGGAAGAACCCGGACGAAGATTTGCCGAAAGACCAAACAACAGTTGAACTGGCTATGGCACTGTTCTCACGAGGCTTACTTTCCTACTAATTTTATAGTAGTTGGAAGAGTCCACAATAACCTCATTAGAGGGAAGACACTACAAAATATACATACATGCGTACATACGTTAATACGTAGAGACTTACGTACATACATACATCCATACATACATACGTATATACATACGTACATACATACATGTACGTACATACATTCACTCATACATATACATACGGCCATACATGCGTACATACGCTCACACATACATACGTACATACATACGCTCATACATACATCCATACGTACGTACAGCCATACATACATAGATGCATACGCCCATACATAACTACGTACATACGCACATACATACATACATACAGATCCATACATACGTGTATACGCCCATACATAAATACGCCCAAACATGAATACGCTGATACATAGATAGATGCACACATACATACGCCCATACATACATACAGTCATACATACATACAATTTTACATATATACATACGTACATACGCCCATACTTACACACGACCGTACACGAAGGCTGTGAGTCGATTTTGTTTAATAATATCGCTTCATTTATTTTAAAAACACTCCCCCCCTCTCTTGGACATGAGTAGAGGCTTACGCCTTGTTTAGGAAGGGGTTTCCGGAACTATCTCTCTCTCTCTCTCTCTCTCTCTCTCTCTCTCTCTCTCTCTCTCTCTCACTGGCCTCTGTATCTCCAGTTGCCTTGATCTATCCACTACTCTTCTCCTCATCCTTTCTTCTATCACTCCTATCTGATCTTGCTCTAAATTTTCTGTAACCCCTTGCGTCCTAGTGGCTTCCCGCCTTGCTTGGGGTCAAACGCTTAAAAAAAAATGAAAATCCTGGGTATGACGATAAACTACGTCCGGCAGATAGGCCTCCGATTGGGGGGAGATTGAAGGTTTTTTTAGGAGAGAGGGAGCATCTCATAATTGCTGTTGTTCTTACGACTCTCCTCTGACCCAGGGTGGTAGCGCCTGTTCGTGTCCAAGCTATGTGCAAATACTGAACCCTCAAACAAAAACAAAACAAGTGAATGTGTAAAAATATATTTTTATAGTAAAAATAACAGGAATACAGTTTTATGCAAAAACAAAAATAGAAATTAACAATACCTATTTATAGTAAAATGAAAATAGCTGAGTCAGGACACATTTAAATACAGGAAATAACCTACCAAACTCCACCTGCAACATACTAGTAGAAAATGCCAGTATAATATCTTCATCCACAGGTAAAAAAAAGATTAAAATAATGAAAGCATTAATAATACAAAATGAAGAACCAACACTCAATAACATTACCTATGAACACGGCCACGACATGTCATTAACTTCAGTTATAAAACACACACACAAGGGAGCCTCGAGGCGGCGTAATGGTTAGCAAGCTTGTCTCGTTATTTACATTATTCGGAATATTGTCCTCATCTTTATTGTCAACGTTTCGGCCGTTGTACGCTCTGGCCTTCTTCAGGTGGTTGGAATGTCGAACTGAATCCTTTATTTCGCTCGCTGGGACAGACTGTTCTAGTTCTACGTGCCATGTCTAATGGATGTCAGTTATCAGTTATCTCCTGTTAATTCACCTCTCCAAGTTCTCCACTTAACCAGATTGAACGCACAACTCTTTAGGTACTGTCACTAGATCTAACCAACGCCTCTATCCACCGTGCCATGTGTCCTTAAGGACATCTGTGTATGAATTTCTGGGACTTAATGTCTTCAGCAATCATTTTTACCAGTTCTCATATTGCAATTTTTTGCTCTTATCAAATATGTTTTTACCAGAGCTCATATCGTAATTTTTGCTGTTGTTATTGTTTTTCTCTGGCACGCATTATTACTTGTTCCCATAATGAATTCATTTCTATGCTTGGTCGCCTCAGGAGATTTTTATGGCCTAGCATATGTGCTGATTCCTTAAGTTTACGAATTTTCTAATGATGTTCTTTGTCTATGATTTCAACCTGATCCAACAGAGGGCGGTGATCGCTCTTTTCTCTCCATATATGGTCAGCTACACCTGATTTTTCCACGTGTTACAGATTTCTGGTGTTCTTGAACCCTTACCTTAATGGGGCGGCCTGTCTCCCTTTTATATTTCTTTCCGCAGCTGCACGGGATAGCGTACACACAGTCCTTAGTCATGTTCTCCTCTATGGGAGGGGGGGTCTTACTCGGGAGAGATATCTGGGAAAT